ATAAGAAAAATATGACTTGTTTATTTATATTTTCTTTTACTTGCAGCCAAACACATTCTTGGCTGATATAGGGAATTAATTAGGCCAGAAGATTCCAAGACCACTACTCTGAAATTCTGTGGTTCTAGATGAAGCTCAGTAAGTGCTTTTTTGCCAATTACTTTCAACCTCTGCTTTATCTTGTGCAAAGTGCAAGCTTGTCCCCACTTCTACTAGTAAATCCTTAAAGCATAGAGTTGCTCTACTCAGTGCAGGGAATTTAAATTAAGGATCATTCAGTATCTTCTTGTTTTTGAAAAGAACAAAAACAGGAAAAAGCATAACTTTTAAGAAGAAAAACTTTCAAGAAACTCTAAAATATCACTGATGTTTACTCCAAATAATTCTCAGAAGGAGTTAGTTCCATTAAATCATCAGGCAAACTTTAAATTCTTGAAAAGGCAAAGGGAAGAAAAATATTTTTTCTCCAGTTATCATGAATAAGATAAATTTTCATGATCAAATATTTTATTATGTTTGAAATTTTAAGCACTGGTAAAAGAGAGTCTTTAAAAGCCCAAACTTTCAGCTTAAAGTGCATAGTAATTGTAATAACATAAAATGACATACAAATGCCTTTATGGAAAGTTAATAGCTTCTCTACTCCCAAGACATTCCAAAATGCTTTAATCCCTTTACCTAGTTTTAACTGCATAGCTTGCAAAGTATTATCCCCATGATCCAGATGGCCAAACTGAGGCCAGAAGGTTAAATGATTTATTGAAGCCACAAAAAAAATCCACTATCAGAGAAAAGATTCATTTTACGAAACAACACATCTCTACCTTCACAACAATGAAAATAGGAAAGTGATTAGAACAGCAAAATATTTTTTTAAAGCATAGCTTTTTCATAGCATATCAAAGCTTTACTTATATAAGCTTGCAAAAGTCTTCTTTGGATGAAAGGCCTTTGTTCTTCCTCCCCATATTGGACACTCATTGTAAAGAAGTACTCCATAAACTAGACATGTGTCACCCTTAGCTCCTCTGAAGCAATGAGAACCTATCAGTTTCAGGGAGGGGATGAATGGCTTCTGTGTCCACTTGTGTGCCATTTGATTACTTTTTATTTATTCAACAAATATTGTGCATAAAACCCACTGTGTGAGACACAATGTCAGTGGAGGAAATGCCAGGCACAAAAGGCCCCAGGAGTTTAAGGAGTGTGAGATGATCGCAGCCTGGGTGGATCTGAGGAGGTTTCATGTGGAAAGTAGTACTTGAGCTGGTCTTGGGATGGCTAAAATGTTGACAGGCGAGGGCAGGATGGACAGCATGAGATTTTCAAAGCCTGAATGAAAACGAGTGATGAAATTGTTTACATGACTTCTGAACATACTCTATTTTCAGGCACAGTGTGAATGACTACAAATGCATGATTTCATCTACTCTTCAGATAACAGAATTAATCTGAAGTAGAGATTGTAATCTCCAATTCATTGATGAGGAACCTTTGACTCAGAGAAGCTAGGTGGCAGGTTGATAAAAGTGGTGGACACAGGATTCAAACACGGGCCCTTCTGACCTCTGAGATTTTATGCTTGACCACTATGCTATGCTGCCTCCCTTCAAGGCCCTACTTTTCTGCCTTTGTTTGAAATCTTCAGAGAGGTTTCTTTTGTAAAGTGTGGTCACCAGATTTCCACATACAGCTTAGGCTTGCAGTGAAAAATAGGGCCACTGTTAAAATATCATTGAGATATGTTCCATAGTTATTGCTTACAAACTAGTATTTGTCTAGTCAAGGTAGTCCATGAGAAAATTTAATATCTTAATTTTAAGGAAGGCAGTGGAGGACTTGCAACCTGTGGGCTATTCAAAGGTGAATGTGCTATGTGACATTGAGCAAAAGTGCAGTAAAGACCTGTCCCCCACCCCACCTCTTGCCTCAGGACCCTGATAAAGGTACACCTTTCTCTTCTTCCAGGCCCTTTGAAAGTAAGTTTGTAAGGTTGGATTCTTCTTAATGTACATGTCACATTTATTCTACCCTAGTTTCCTTGGTCAGACTCTCTTCCTCCTTAAATCTGTCCTCATCTTCCTGAAACATCAACTCTTAGTCCTGGTTGTGATGTCATCCCAAACATTAGCTTTCCAACTGACTCAGAAAAGAATAGAAGATACTGCAGTACTTGCAGCAAATAGTAAGAGGCTAAATACCAACCCTTTAAAAATATCTTAGCCCAAGAAGTTAGCCTATCTTGTTAGCCTAGTCTCATGTTAGCCTATCTTGACTCTATGACTCTTACCCACAAAGATAGCACTGAAGAGTTTCATCTCAACTACCCTAATTCCCTTCACCAGACCACTAAGGGGGCAGGGTGCAATAAGAATGGGTACCTGAGCAGATATTCCAGAAAGGAGAACCGAGGATGCTGGGAACCATCTTGAATTCTGGTGAAGACAAAGAATCTTTGGTATTCCATAATTCTTAAACTAGGCATTTTTCTCTTTTCCTCAAAAACAATTTCATGAATATGCTTGGAGATCCAAACTCATTATTTTGTAGGCTAAAGAGGTCTACTCTGGCTCAACATGGTATGGATCATTTGAGAAAATGTCTAGCATGAAGAAGCTCCCAATCATGACACCCATGGGTAAATGCTGAAATTGTTATAATAATTTCTAGAAATGTGGTTTTAAAGCAAGACTTATAGATGGTGCTCTTAATATTTATTTTATAAATGATGATATATATGCACATTGCTTTATGTTCCTCAAAGAGTCTTTAGAAATATTACTTTATGGTAATTTCTGCATGAGAATATGAGGTTGGGAGGAAAAATTTATTTGGCAGTATTATTGACCTTATGTAATTGGGGAGGATATTAAAAATCTAGAAGGTAAGTGGAAAGCAAAGAGGCAGCATACCCATCTATCCAGGCTGCCAGCATATTGTTCTTCCTAATCCTTACTACATGGCTACATCATGAATCTTTTCTTTGCCTGGAATTTCCCCCATTCATGTAAGTAACCTTTAAGATTTGACTTTGAGTTATCAACACTTTGAAGTCTTTTTATTAGATACAAGTGGTTAAGTAACAGCACATTCCATATCATCTTCTACATCAGTGTTTCCCAAAGTGTGGTACGTGTACCCCCAGGGGTACGGGAAGAGTTTGGTGGGGGTACATGTTGCACTGGAGTTTGGTGGGGATATGCACTGCACCGTGCTTAGCTGCACCTAATTCTACGTTCTCATGAGTACAAGGGGTACTCAGTGTTATGAAAATTATAGATATGTCAAAAAGTTTGGGAAATAACATGTTTATTTTCTTGTGCCTGTCTCCTGAACTCGACTGTCCACTCTATGAGGGCAGGAACCACTGAATTCTCAGTAACAGGCTCTCAGGTGAACCTCCAGAGTCCCCTCCTCTGAGCTCCTGCAGAAATTTCTGCTTTGAACATTCATTTAGCATTTAGAATATGTGAACCTGACAATAAAAAGATGAGAAACATCACATGCCTTGCCTCCTTGAGACCAAAAATCTTCTTTCTGACTAAAAGGGCTTCACATCTATTATGTTCCACCACAGTTTAGATGCTTAATGAATACCCAATATGATGATAATATCATAATACTACCCCATTTCAAGAAATCCATTCTGAATTTGGGGACTGTATAATCCAATTCAGGTACAAGATTTTAAAATTAGGAAACACACACATATTCCTTCTCTGATTATATCACACACAGAGACAAGTGGCATAATAAGTTGAGAAAGTTCTCTCAATGATAACAAGATGTTTAAAGATGGAGCAAGTAAGTTTCATAACTGTGTATTTAGAAATTGCTTCGCACAATAGTCAGAATACTTATTTCCTTCAGTGTGATTTCTGTGTGAGTGCATGAGCAGCCCTCTCACCACCATCTTTCCCTGATATGCATACAGTTTATTTATAAAGGAATTCAGATTTGTGGGACTGTGAGATTGCAAGAAATATCAGTTTTTCCAGGCATATGTCAAAGTGGATGAGAGACCATTGCTTTCTAGGATGTTTTATGATACCAGCTGGAAGATCACAGACCTACCTAAACGAAAATCTGATGGAAGAAAGCAAATGTGGTTACAATTATTCATACTCCTACTGTGGGAGTTTCATAAACAAACTAATAAATATTTTCGTCTTGCCATAAGATCAAGTTAAGTGACTTGCTGACATTCTCTTGAGGTTTAAAGCTTGTCTTTAATGTGAAATACAAATCATATTTCTTGTGGACACATTTTAATAATAAACTTAAAAGCACACAAGGCAAAAATAATGAAAACATTACAATGAAAACCAGACCAACTATCTACCACTTCAAAAGGAGTGAATGAAGACTGCTAGTCAACAGTCAACACCATGATGCAGACAACCTCAATGCAAAATGTTTCAAGGAAAGGGGAGCATCAGGGACGTGAGAATGAAAAAGAAGCTATTACTGTTGACCCTTGAACAAAGTCGGGGCTAGGGGAACTAACTCCACAGTCAAAAACAAACATATAACTTAAGTCGGCCCTCCACATATGCCCATTCCCAATTGCTTATTGAAAATACAGTTGATCTCTGATCAACTTAGGTTTTAACCCTGTGGTTATGTTTATTATGTGAGTTTTTAAAAATCCTGCATTGCTCAAAGGTCAACTGTACTTGCTCATCTCACACACACACACACCCCACTCTTGTGTAATTTACATAATGAATTTGATTTTGGTTCAATTAAAATGATCTCCCACCACTTTACTATGTCACACTGGCATAGAAAGTGGTTTGGTCCCTTGTTTACCTTAGGTTAATGATCAAGGGACTAATGTCAAATCTCTTTGGTCCCTAACACTCCAAAACTGTCCGCAATGATAAGAAAGTGGAAAACTCACTGCCTTCAGGAGCACTCTGGGGGAGTCTCTCATTTGGCTATTCTGGCCTCAAGGCCATGATCTAAGCAAAACCCAGGGCGCCTGTGAAGTGGCTCACCTCTGGGTCCTGTAATGACAGGCCGGTGGTGCTGGGTGAATGCTGTTCCCAGGGAGGAGGTCTGCGAAGGGGAGGGGCTGCTGAAACCAGACTTCTCCGACTTCTTCAGTGTTGTTGGAGATGGCATTCCTGGCAAGAAGGATGGATTGATAAGCACACTGTAATTCATGGAACAACAGCTTGTGCAACCTAAAAGATAAAACTTAAAGAATTAAAAAAATAAATCTACCGGTGAATGAAAAATTTGTTTTCAGTTGCTTTGAATCTGTCACAGGGACTAACAGGTGACAAAATGGTCCCCTTACAAGTTTGTAGATAATGATTTCACCTTCTACTAAATCATAGTCCATTTTGGCATCATTGATCTTCTCTGATTAAGGGTGCCACTTTCCCAGTGTTTCCTGAAAGTTGCAAGCCCCCTTCGGCCTCTTAGGACCCTTCAATAAAGAGGCTATGGAAGCACAAGAAGACCCCTTTGCCATCATTTCATCTTCCCAGGTACCGTGCACCAAAGCACTTTAAATGATTCTAAATAATTTAGCTATTTTAAGATTTAAAAACCTCCAACAATGGCAACTCGGTTGCTCATTCAATAAATTATTTATAATAGAAGCAAAAAAATATAAAAGTAAAAAAAAATACCATAAATACCCAACAACTTTCATTTGATAGAACCAAATGCAAATAATACTGTAAAAGAATAATGACAGGGGTATATATTTGTTCAGTTACATAGAATAAAGACATGGAAAGCAATTATAAAATAGGGTGTTTCACTATGATGCCACTTAATACCATTCTGGGTATAGAGAAAGAAAACTGGCTGAACTTAACAGTGGTTCTCTCAGAGTGTTGGATTCAGGTGATTTTCATTACCTCTTTTTGCTTACTTGTCTTTTCCATGATGAACATATATTACTTTTATGTTAAGAAAATACAATAAAAGTTTGTTTTTAAAAATAGTATTTTTACTACAATTTCTAAGATTTTTCATAGCACTCCCAGCATAGGGAATGTTTCAGGGAGACAATAATAGGAAAATAGTCCCTCATTATTACTGAATTTGTAATGTTCTCAGCAATCACACTAACATACACAATTGGAGGCATCTATCAGTTTGGTAGTGTTCCAATTAAAACAATGAAACCTTGGATATAAAAATAAAGAAAATGATTCCTAGTATCCACATTACAGCACCAATTTGGGCTCTCTTAAATTAGTAGCACATACTTGGTCTGCACTTTTGTCAAAAAGACCTAATCTCATTTTACTTATGCATGCCCACATGTGTTCTGCCTATGACCAGAGAATTATTTGGGTGAACTGGAAAAATAAATAATAAAGGTAATAATGGTATAAACATGTAGCTGTTACTGAGTAGATGTTAACGACTATGCACTGTGCCAAGCAAGTTATAGGTGTAGTCTGTTCTGAAATTTAGTTAGTCTGGCCTATGTCTAACTATGTCCTTGTATATCTGATCATAGATTTCCTTAGTGAGACTCTACAACACAAGCTTCTAGTGTGATTACAGATTCTATAAGGAGGAGACCTTTCTGCTTTGTCCCTTCTATTTTCAGAATCTAACAAAGGGCCTGGAACACAGCATGCAGCCTGAAAAGTTATTGAAACTAACTGCATAGGTCTCAGCTTTTCCTGTGGTTTTACTAATAGAGGCTTGGATATAGCAAAACTTGGGGTCTAGGCCCAAGGGAAAAAATTGCAAATTGGTAAGGACATTTCCATAGTCAGACATTAAGGACAATATGAAGTACTGTGTGATTTCTACTAATTTGACAGATCTAGATCAGATCCATCCTAATCAATATCTCTGCGATTTCAATTAAAAACAAAGTCATTCAGTGACTTTATCTACATTTCTTTGCTCGTTAGGACCAAAGTCATACCAGTCCTAACATCATTAGGGCAGATTGTGGTTTTGGATTAAAATTCATTTCATGCAAACTAACCTAAGGTCTAATCACATAATTACATCAGAGAGGAGATTTCAAATTAAAAAAATTATAGGAAAGAAATAAAGAGCTACCAATACTTAAACAAATCTCCCAATTCATTCAAATCTCTTCTGTGCAAACAAATTTTTAGGCTGCCAGCCAGCCCACTGATTTAAACTCAGTCAAATGCCTGAATTATGTGTTATAAAACAGAAATAGAATAGAAAAATGAAAATGTCAAAAATTTTAAATGGCAGAATTTTTTTCAGACAGTGGAGTCACTGATGAACACAATATCTAAATTAACTCTATTAAAGCAAGCAAGCAGTTGGATTCCAGAAAAAAACTTTATGTGCTCCAGCTCATGTTAGTATAATGCTGCAGAAATACTGACATGATTAAGTCCACTATTTACCCTTATAAAAAGTGAGGTATAAGTAAAATTTAAGTAATAACAAGCATCAAGAACGATAAATGGGTTCAAACAGCAAATTTCAGATCCTCTTGAAAAGGGTTAAAGAGAGAAGAAATGTTATCTGTGTGCAATAAGAACAAGCCAAACTGTATATAATTTTCTAAATTTATCATAGTCAAGTAATATGAACCCCAAGGCTGTCATGAATCTCAAAATTACTTAATGTTTTTATTTTTAAAAGACCTATACTGAGCACACTTCCTTATTATATACTTTAATATTTTCTCTATATGCATAATGTATGTTTTGGTTAATTTGCTTCATATATGTAATGTTAGTAAACTGCTTTATATTAATAAACAAGAGAACATCAATCTTGACTTTTGTTTTTGAGATCAACTTTGGTTTCTGTATGTTATTTAAAAGAACAACTCCTTGTTAAAATCTGTTACCAATTAGTTATGTATAACTGTTAGACACAATTACTATATAGATTAATGTCTAATTGGCTTTTTTTAAATGAATCAAAATCTGAATTTAAAAGTATTATTTATTTATTTTTTAGAAATATCAGATTTCTGAAAAAAAAGATTTAGTTAAATTAATGCTACCCCCCCCTTTTTTTTTTTTCTGGAACAAAAAACCTATCACTTCAAAGTTCACTTCAATATGTAAAAATGAAAACTTTTATAGAATGAGAAGAAATTTAGCATGCTGTTTGATTCAACAGGACATTTCCTCATATTGAGTAGTATAAAAATTCCAAAGGTGGCAAAGAGAGTAGAAGGTGAATTACAAGAAGCACGTTGGCTTGTCATTGCTTTTCTAACCATCAGACATTTTAAATTTCCTTCACTTTGCCATTTTTCTAAGCTATCTCAGTCATGTCAACGAATGTACAGTGAACAAAGGCAAACATAAAAGAAATTCTAGCTAACTATTGAGTCTTATCACTGGAAGCAGTTGTGAGCAAGATGCCCACCAGGAAATCCTTGCAAGTCCGGGTCAAATACAGTATCCACCAAGATTCTGTTAGATTTCATCATTGCATTTATAGTCATCAGCATTCTAAGATGGCCCCTTGGGTACACGTTTTGTATAACTCCTTACTTTTGAATATAGGTGGTACTGATGAGTGTGATGGAGTGTGATTAGGTGGTTATATGGCAAAGGTGAAGAGACTTTTGCAGATGTAATTAAGGTCCCTAATCAGATTACTTTTAGTTAAGCTAAGAGTTATTATTCTGGGTGGGCCTGACTTAATCAGGTGAACCCTTTTAAAGAGTGATTAGATTCTCCGATGGTTTTGAAGAAGTAAGCTAACATATTATAAAAGGGCCTGTGAGAGGGCCACATGTCAAGGAACTGCAGGGGCCTCTAGGGACTAAGTGGTACCCTAGCAGATATCCAGCCTTAAGCAAGTTAGGCCTTAGTGTTAAAGCTACAAGAAACTGAATTCTGCCCTGCTGGCATGGCTCAATGGTAGAGCATTGACCTCTGCAATTCCAGGTCAGGGCACATACCTGGGTTGCAGGTTCCATCTCAGTGTGGGGCTTGCAGGAGGCAGCTGATAAATGATTTTCTCTCATCATTGATGTTTCTATTTCTCTCTCTCCTTTTCCCTTCCTCTCTGAAATCAACTAAAATAAAATAAAAATAAAATAAACTGAAATATGTCAACAATCAGGCAAGTTTGCAAGAAGACTCTGAGCTAATGTAGCCTGGACAAAATTTTGACTGCAGCCTTGTGGGACAGACCATACACAGAGTGACCAGCTTTGTTTTGTTATACAGAGAAACATGACCCATGGAAACTGTGAGATAAGATTTGCATGTTGTTTTAAGTTTATGGTAATTTTTTATACAGCAATAGAAAACTAACATGATATTGCAATATAAGACTGTCAGTGCTAGAAATGTGTGCATTAAAGATGCCCACTGTGCACTGATTACTCTCTAGAATTCCACAAGTTTTCATTATTTTTAGCAAACCCACTTTAGGTTATGAGGTTTTGCATTAGCCAACACTTGCTTAGAGAAAATGGTTAAGACAGCTTCCTGGGAGGAGTGGGGGAGGACAACAAATGGTTATTTCCAATGATGTAAAAATTTATGAAATTTTCTATTTCCCCCTTATTCTTTCAAGAAACATCAATAGCAAAATCAAATCAAACAGTATGGGGCAACACAGATATAATTCTTGGGGTCTCCTATAACAAATCAAGGTTTGTTTTGGTAAGTTTTTGCTGCAACCTGATGTTAAAGAAAAAAATTTTTTAAAGGATATGGGATACAAGGGAAACACAATTAATTTCAACTCCCCCACTCTTCCAAATTATGAGATTTACCCAACACTTTAACCAAGAACTTTACAGTGACAATTGTGAAGCAAATCTTACAGGAATAACAGATAGTACAATGCTGTTTTTTGCTTGAAAAAACTGCAACAGGTCAGTGTTACTGCTCAGTTGTCAGAGGACTTATTAAAAAATACATTGTCTTGTGAAAATTATCCCTGGTAAATGCTGTTCAGGACAGCAGGACTTTATCTTGTCTGTTGTTCGAGTTTGGGTGATGTAATCCAACCTGCCAGAGAAGACTTAACTGGTATATGTGTCTTTCTTTAAAGTTAAAAACTATTTACTTTCAATAATGTTCATTTTTACTCACAATCTGAGAGAAACTCTGGAAACAAGCAAACTCTGCACTTTAGTTTTAAAAATCCAATAGATAAGCAGGTTAGAGAGGACCACAGAATG